GTGTATTTGCTTTTGCCGAGCTCCTCAGAGGTTTCTCTGCTGGGGAGCCAGGACGGCCCGTTAGAGTAGAGGTGGCCAAGGCGGCTCCTTGCGACGTCCCCCCAACCAGGAGGGAAATCTGAACGACAGGTTTCTGTATTCAGGGCTAAATCTGCCCTCCCCTCCTATGGTTTAAGTTGTTTATTAATCAAAGTTTACAGCTCTAATTATTCTTCTTCTAAGAGGGAAAATAACCCGACCCCGGCGGGTTAATGAACAGCTCATGGGCATGGCAGGTTACCCACCCCCCACCCCGGGGAGGCGGTTCTTCACGGGGTGCTGAGCTCCTCGCTGTGTTTCAGGTGGAAACCCCGCGCTGCTGGGCTGTGTCTGTTAATGGTTTATAATTAAACGTTTTCACTTGTCTACCTGAACCGGCTTTTTGAAATCCTATCACATGAGACGATTCTTTGTACTTCCCGGATGTTTCAGCACTTTCAAGTTGGAGACTGTTTCTACTCGCTGCCAAGCCCAGTCTCTCCCAAATCGACGGGCTTTCCTGATGACCCTTAAATACTGTTTTTAAAGATTATATAAGAAAACCTCTCCATTAATATTCCCTTCTATTTTTTTTTCTGTCTATTGGCTTTAACATCCAATTTCCGTTTATCGAGGGGGCAAACTGTGATTTCTTGCACTTGACCTACCGCAGAAATGTCTGCAAATCCTTTGATTGTCTATTTAAAACAAAACAAGGAAATCAGCTCTCTCTTTTGCTTCAGGATTACGCTTGGAAACAAGATCTAAAGATTCTCTTGTAATTTGGAGAGCCAACAGCATAATAGGTTTGGAATAGAAACAAGCAGCTTTGTGAGGGGAAGGGTAACTAAATCGTTTTTTAGGCAAAGGATTTTCCCAGCTAAAGTGGCCGAGGACAAAGCAAAACATAATCTATTTTGGAAGATTTCCAAGATATGCCACATTAACCTTAGCAGATAAAATTTGCTTTCTTCTCTGCGTCCCCTCCCCCACCAAGGTCTGGTTTATCATATTTACATAAGTAGCCTTAGAAGGGATGTATCTATTACGGATCTAAGGAGCTAGCGAGCTCACATTTCATTTGGAAATAGAGGCGAAGTTTTACTGTTGCTTAATACTCGATGCATTGTAGAACCATTTCCATTTAAATACCCCCGACCCACGGATTACCTCAATGGACTGGCTACATGGGTTTTGTAATTTCCTGAAAATGAGATTTCGATTTATAAAACAAGAAACCAATTAGTAACCAAATGAGGCGAAGTAGATCCACTAAAATTGACCTAATCCCACAGGCACCATTTAGGCCAGTTCTGGGCGAATGAATGATGAGCAACCGTCTAGTGTAAGCTCTAGGCATCATCCAGCTGTGTTATTCAAGCAGCAAAAATAAATGGATCGAGCTTTTCTTTCGGAATGAATTTGATACTCTTGACAAAACTGTAGATTACAGGCTGCTACCTAACAATCCCCTCCACTCGAGGATTTTTATTTCTTTTTCCTAAGAAGATAATTTGGGCCACAAGAAAGAGTCCACTGCCAGGAGGAATTTAAAAAAAACAAAACCAAAAACAAACCCAAAACCCCACCCCAACCCCTATATAATAATAATAAAGTTTAAAAGCACAAGACGTTTTAGCCAGACTCCTGCTTAGTTTGCAGTCTTGTTACCTAACAGCATGTGCCGATCCTGCGCGGATCCTGCGCGGATCGAGCGCCCTGACTCATCATTTCTCTCGGCACTTCCCAATGGAAAACCACTGTGCTTTCCACACCAAAGAGCAACCCATGGGTTTCATGGGACAGCTATACCGGGCGAGTCCCTGTGAAACGCCTTCTCCCCAGCCGTGCCCACCCCCGGCACTGGGCAAGCCGGTCCCCACCGCAGCCTGCCCCCCAACCAGGCTGACAGTCAGCTCGGCTGCTTGTGTCCCTGCTGTCCTTCCCCTCGTCGCTTGATTGATGAAGCCTTGATGCCGGCAGCCAATGGGGTGGGTGGATATCGTCCCTACCCAGTGGCGATATTGTCTCAAGAAGCTCCTCTGTCCCACGGGAGGGGGAAGAGATTCCTCAATCATTTCTAATTTGATCCTGTGTAAGTGGATCCGGGCAAAGACGGAGGAAGGCAGGGCAGGGAAATGAGACTCCAGGAGGCCCGGGCAGCTCCTTGGCCCTGGCTGATCTCCGGGTTACTCGTCCCTCTGTCAGCATCTGCAGCGCAGAACCCACCTCGACCCCCTCCTTCGTCTGGCAATAGCAAAGGGGGGCTGGGGTGGACGGTGGGGGTGGGGTGGCCAGAAGATGCAAGCCCTTATCTACTTTGTGCTGATTTGCCGACTTTTAAAAGCCATTGCTACGATTTCCCCAACGGACTATCCGTCACGAAATCTCAGCGCAATCCGGATTCACAGTAGTGAAAACAAGGGCAGAGCGGGGGATTTGACGTCCCCGTT